GAGTATAACATTTGGCTTGTTTATATCATATCAGGCAATGTTGATGCTCTTCTCTCAGGTAACTAACTGTAATCTGGGCTTGTTATTTGTACTAGGCAGTAATAAAGTAACAGGGTAATTGTAGTTGTGCATACAGAGATCAGCACATCAACAGAGTGCAGTTTTATTTGAGCATCTCCCAGCAGCTGGGTGAGAGGGTTCATGTTCAACTCTGATGAGCCTCCAGCACCATTCAGGGAACCCTGGGTTGGGAGTTCAGACCAGACCAATCAGGTCTCATTACCATCACAACAAACCCACCGGTAGTCGTCATCAGCCAATGACCTACATTCTCCAGTGTTACATCACCACCGTGCTACTGCAGTGTGTGTCACTGTACCAGACACAGACAACATCTCAGACTCAAACTACCACTATCTAATGGTGCTCCTGAGAAAAAACAAAAAAACATCCTAACTGAGGTGGCCAGTTCTAGGGAACACACTTGAACCAAGGCAGCCTCACTTGTTTTAGCCATATCAGGATCTACAGTCAGGAATGGGCCCAACTCTGCTGGCCCAGTCTTAAGTACTAACTAACTTTTTTCTTTGTTTTCTACTTGTGTCTAAGTAGGTGACCATGCCTAACCTCTAGCCATCCCTAATCTTAAAGTTAGAGAGGCAGAAAGACAGGGATCACCATTAATATATTAGACAGAGGGACTGTTAAACAGGACAGCCTGGAGAACGGGCGAGCAGACGAGGGAGGGGGTAAGGGGGAGCGAGAGATCATCTGGAAGAGGAGAGAGGAAGTGGTGGCGCGGGAGAGGGCAGAGGCGTTGGAGAGACAGAGGCTGGCAGAGTATATTGTGTGGAGGAAGAGAGAGGACTTCCAGGAGAAGAGAGGAGACAGAGAGAAGGGAGGAAAGAGTGCGGAGAAAGGGAAAGAGGCTGCACCAGAAGTGATCTGGAAGAAGAGAGAAGAAGAGGACGGAGAAGCAGGGAGGGAGAGAGCGAGGGCCATTCAGAGAGGACATGAAACCATTTGGAGGAAGAGAGAGAGAGAGTAAAAATGAACTTGATGAAAGATTTGAGAATACAATGCACTTGAAAAGTAGGTGTTAAGGAAAGTGTGCTGCCACCAGGAGTTGGAGACTAGCCATACATCAGTAAGCCTCCTCTCTTCTTTAGCAGTTCTGTGCTTCATTGAGCTCTGCAGATGCTCTCTGTAGTATTGACCAATTGGAGCTGTGTATTGTGTGTGTGCGCGTGTTGCTGCTGTGTTAGTGCGCGCAGCCCCCTTGCGATCCCCTCGTTGGCTGCTAATAGGATTTTTATGGGCCCGTGTCAGGCAGGATAGAGCTGCCAAGGGGAGCCGCTTCACACATGCACACATGTGCGCACACCAACACACACACATACACAGATAATCTAAGAGGTATTGTGAGCAGGGAAGGTTTATGCTGCCTCACACGTGTAAACACATCACGTACAAGTGCGCACCCCTCAATGCTGTAAGACACATGCAAGGGGGTGTTGAGAGAATTCACTTGTTCACTGTTGATTCTCCATGGTGCTGCCGACAGCTGGATAACTGGCCCTCACTGAGTTGGAACAAGATATTCACAGATATCGTTTTACATTATGGCAAAAACACTGAGATGAACACTTTTTGTAGAGCGAAGATGATGATCTTATGATTTCATCAGTTCCTGGGAACAGGATGAACATTGAAGCAGATTTAAAGTGAACTGATGACAACATGATCTGCACTGGTGCACTAAAAACAAACTTTTTTCATCTGCATTCTACCATTAACTGGGACACCCCACTTCTCTGCACCTTTTTCATTCTGCTTTCATTTCTGGATAAAGCCGTTTCTAAAGCAGTTTGGTTTTGGCTGCCTGGTAATGAGTGGAGGACAGACAACCAGACAGATGGATGCAGCTCTTACACTGAGCAAGACAGACAGATGGCTGTGTGTCCTTTTAGGGAGAAACTTTGAATACTGAGACAAAGAGACGTTGATTGAATCACTAGAGCCTCTGTGGACTTGCACGGATAGAAAAACTGACACTGCAGATTCATTATGGAGCTTGTCCCAAAAACCAAATACACCCACTTTCGGAGTGAATCGCTGAGCTCAACTGATGAAACAAACTCCAATCCATCATCGTTCCCTCCTTCCAGTCCTGCTACCCCGCTCACTCCCTCCCCTGGTTTACCTTCTTCTCTCTCTTCCTCATCTCTCACTCCCATCTTGCCCCCCTCTTCTCCCCGCCCGGCAGAGAACAGCCCCACCACCCTTTGTTCCTTCTTCCCTAGGATGGGATCTCTTCGTCTGGGCGTCTCTGCCACTCTTCTCCCAGGACTCAAGGCCTCAAACAGGCCGCAGCAACCTCAGGCGCCTGTTGAGTCCTCTGGGGACGACAGGAGCAGCTCTAGCTCCTCCCCTCCGCTTCATCACCCTGTTCCCCCTCTAACTGCTCCTTCTCCCCCTCCTCGACCTCCTCTGCAGGATATGAACCGGCTGGGAGGGGCGTCCAGGAGGGCACGGGTGGAAGGAGGGCAGCTGGGAGGAGATGAGTGGACGCGCCATGGCTCCTTTGTCAACAAGCCCACCCGTGGCTGGCTGCACTCCGACAATGTGGTCAGCACCACCGGTGTTTCCTACACTGTACGGGTAAGTAACTGGCACCCTCTCACTCATCCCTAACTGAAATATGTAATTTACACATCTCTCTTTCCAGTATTTGCATATATATATATATATATATATATATATATATTTCAGGA